ATTGCTGGCTTTAATGCTAAGATGTTGCCCCATCTGATGCAGGAATCCTGGGAGCAGGATTTCAGATTCATGTTCCATCTCTGGAAGAGCCTCAGGGGCCAGCAGCAGTGTGTGCAGACAGAGCAGCTGCCCACTGGGAGAGGACAGGCAGCACCCACCCCCAGGGTGCTTTCAGCCTCCATGCACCCCAGGAACAAAAGCAAAGAAATGATGGAACCACAGAGGTTCCATCCTCAGAGGGAAGATCACAACACTTTTGGTTCCTTCTACCTAGAAATGCTCATGAACTCGGAGAAGAAATACAAGTATATTTGAGTGACATTCCTTCTTTAACCCTCAAAACCACTTCCAAAGAGCGAGGCACAAGCCTCGTTACTACAGACAGCAATACTCAGGACACCACAGTGCCACTGAAACAGAGACTGCACAAATAAATACAGCAAGAACACTCACTGATTCCACACAGGTACCGCTCAGGAGGACCTGGAATGGATGGATCCCAAATTCTTCACTTCCAGCAAAACCTCACATCTGCTTGAGAGCACACGATGCTACAGAGAGCCAAGAGCAATGCTTCTAATCCTGCATTAACAAACATGACTCACCCATTTATTTTCACTGGTATGTTCATGGTTATTTTAAGCTTTGTCTAAAGAATGCCAGCTACTGTATAATAACTGGAATGAAAGATGGCACTGTTTTTATTTTGCTTTACAACTAAAGATTTATTTTTAGTTGCTTTATATAAAAAAAAAAGCTGAAAAGTGAAACTAGTCTGAATATTATTGTAAATGCTCTGGCACTGATTTGCTAAAACAGAAGCACATGATGATGTCCCATCTCCAGACTAGAAAACTGAAAGGGAAAATTGGAGGCCCAGCTGCCATCAGCCCCAGCTCTAGCTTTGCATCCCCCTGGGAGTCAGCCTGGCTGCCAGGACATCCAGGAAAACCCTGTCTCATAAATAGGGCTTCCAAGAGCAGGCTTTGCCTTGCAGGATATAGAACTCCCACCTGGCCCTGAACAGCCCTACAACACAAAACCTGCTGGTTACACCACCAGAACATTGACTGCATGGAGACTTCTGAGTTTTAATGTCATACAAGGAAATAAAACCACCCTGTGCAGGCTATCCTTTTTTCTCCTGAGCCAACCCAAGCTACAAAACCCATCTTTGCAGAAGCCCTCCTGTTGCAGCACAGATGATGCTGACCCCAAGCCCAGTTCACACACCCACCCTTCTCCAACATCTCACCATCTCAATCTAATGCCCTTCCATCTCCTTCCACAGCTTAATTTCTCCTTCTCCTCCCTCCTCAACTTATACCTAGAATAAACCCCCACTTATGTGTGAGGGTGGATCCCAGTGTCCTCCCCAGGAAACAGAAAAATGAGTGCAGCAGTTCCTCTGCTCCTACAAAACGCACAACCTTCCGTACTGGGATGCCCACAGCACTGCTGCTCGTTTTTGCTCTCTGCTGCATACTTACACCAGCTCTCCTAGCAAATCCATACTACGCCTCAAAGCAGGCCAAAAAGTCCCCAAGAGTTTTCCATCAAAGTCACTGTCAGGCTCCCAGAGCCGCATGCATTTCTGCAGCTGTTTTCTGCCCTCTTGTGAAGGTCTGCAGAAATCCAGGCCTAGAGCAGAACTTGCAGCTCCTGCAAACCCACACTCCCATGCTGGCTTGTTTGCAAGCAGAGATCTAAGAGCCTGGATCTGTCCCTAACCCACATCTGTCAACACTTCCTGAGCATGAGCCTTCATGGACCAACATCTCTCCTAAAAAACGGAGACCAGATCCCCTGCAACAGCCTGCACTGGGCTCAACCCTGTTTTATCCCACAAGTGATCACTTTTTAAAGCCCTGAGCCAAAAGATTAACTCCCCCTTGCACTGCTGGCCTTGGCTGGGACAAACTCTTATTCTCTCCATCCAGCCTAGCCCAGAATCTTTTGAGTTGGAAGGGACCCTTAAAGGTTATCTAGTCCAACTCCCCTGCAGCAAACAGGGACATCTACAGCTCACTCGTGTTGGTGAGAAACAGCCCTAGCATTGCATTGCCCCTGCTGGGGCTGCCTATCACTTGGCTCAGCAAGTTATCTTTGACACATCCCAGGAGCCTCTTGGAATACCTACAACTTTCTGAGCTTGCTGGCTGGCACACTGTGGAGTTCATCCCTTCCTCCCCTATTTGTGACCTTATTTTGGGTATTGCCTCCACAGGGCTCTAATATTTGGTGGTTTAACTCCAGGTTTAACCTGACCAAACAAGGATGCAGTAAGCAGCTTGGGCTCTGCAGGTTCCTGCTTGCTGAAGACAAAACACTTCTTTGTCCAGAAGGAGCGGGGAAACATTGGCTCTAATCCACCTTATATGGCCAGGATGGGCCATACCAGCAGGGCCCATATTTCCACTTCAAACCCTTATCTCTCCCATTGGCAGCATTTATAAACAGAAGGGACATGACTCATCCAGGAATCGAGACAGACTACGGAGAAAAGCAGGGGCCTGCTGATCACACTAAGCACACCCCCTTCCATCCACCCAAAACCCCACCATCTGATCTACAGGTCATTTTCTTGGTCAGAGAAAATGCTTTCTTGCATCAACCCAGTGTAAACCTGAATCCGCAGCTCCTCCCATGCCTGCAGCCTGCACTGCCCCTGCTTTACAACAAGGGAAACTGAGGCACAGAAAGGGCTGTGACTCAAAAACACTCATCCCCATTAGAGACCACAACATCCATCCACACATGCTGGCTATGAAAGCCACTCTGAGGCAAACTCAGCAGAGCAATTTGTATTCTCCTCCTTCCCAAATGTGTCAGTGACAGATGCCAACAGCTCCCCAGGGCTCCTTTCATCTTCCCGAGACATTTAATGTTCTCATAGACTGTTACTGGTCCCATCAATTACTTGACTTTGGCACCATGACGCAATATATGACACGGCACAACCCATTGGCTTTTAAATGCCACAGATGTAAAAGGAACAAACTATTTGGTCTCCTTCAGTTATTTGTCACAGCCACAATGTTCCTTCAGACGTAGTTTAATTCTGGACTGTGCAATTGCACCACGCAAGTCTTTCTCCTCCCAAGAGCCACACTTCATTGGCTGGGCTCTGAACCACAGGTGCTGCTCATATTGATGCCGGCTTCATCCCAAAAGATGAGGATCAGTGCAATTCAGTGCAGCCAGAGCCACGAGCCAGATGGCACTGCCACCCTGCTCCGCTCCCAGACAAACACTCAGCTCCTCGCAGCCCAACCCGCTCCGACAAGCAAGGCAGGAGGAAGGTCAAACCATCTGCTTGCTCTGAGCTCAGTGCCATATTTAAGTGCAAAGCATTTAAAGACTGGAAAGCTGATCTTAGGCTTCCCTATTATGTAATTGCTTTAGTCTTGCTTCTTCCCAGGCAGTCACTGTGAGTGAGCAGCTTTGGCTGGAGAGCCAAAACTGAAATAGGAAAGCACCAAACACCCACAAGCATCAGCAGGGCTGCTGTCCTTCCTGTGCTGCTACTTTAAGGCACCGTGCTACAAGACACAGCCAGAACAGCCTGGAACAGGCAAAATGCTTGGTTTTTATTATTTAGGTTTCTGAAGACCTAAAATATTTTGAATTCTCCCCACTGTTTCCATCCCCTCCCAGTGCAAAGCAGCTGGTGCCTCCCCTCACAGCTGTTATGCCATAACACTGCGATTGCTGCCAAGTGTTTGGGGGAGCCCTGAGATACACAGGCCCACTGACTGATGTTAATCAGCCCTTTCTGCCAGGTGAGCTCTCTTCTGAAAGCCCAGCTTCCCCACACACCCAAAGCCCATCTCAAGCCCTTGGCTGCCACAGAGAGCAGCTGGACGCTGCCTCCCGGCCTCCCTCCAACAACCTGGATTTTCCTCCAATAGGAATAACCCTGAAAACCCGATTCAGGCCTGCAAGCCTGCTCTGCGATCATAGAAAACCACCACCACACACAGAAAGCAGCCGAGCACAGAGGAGCCCCTCCCCCCCCTCAGGCCCTGCAGCCCCTCAGCGCACCTGGGAGCCCCGAGACCAAACTGACCCCCCTCAAACTGCAGCAGAGCGTTTTATTTCCCCCGTTTCCACATCAGAACGCCGGATTCTGATTCATCCGCAACACGTACAGGCACAAAGCCGCGGAGGTGCTACATTTAACGCGTAACAGAAAGCGCGAACGCAACACAACCAACCCACCGCACAGCGCACAGCCCACTGAGCGCGCACTTCCTGCCCGGCCCTTTTATAGCCTCCAGAGGTGGGCGTGGCCACGTGCCCTCACTTCTGCCCTTTTCAAACGTGGCGGGCACGAGGAAAAGCCATCTTTGCGCATGCGCACATCGGGCAGAAAGGAGGGCGGGAAAACGGAAGGAGAGAGGTGGCGCTCGAGTGACGTCATCACGAGGCGGGGCGTGAGAAGATGGCGGCTTCCGGTCTGCCTGGGCCCGGGGTGCGGCCTCGTCTGTGCTGGGCCCGTCCCGCCCGCAGCGCTGAGTGGCGGCTTTTCTCCTCGGTCCGGTTGTGTTGCCGGCTCATGCGCTGCCGATCTTGGCCGTGCTGGGGTCCTCATCCCTTGGGCCTGGCTCTGAGGTGCCCTCAGGGCTGCGGGTCACAGTGAGAGCCAGGCCGTGGTCACCTGGATCACGGGGAGCTGCGGCGTCCGCGTCTTTTTGCTTCTTCGGTAGTAAAAATAACGCCGTGTGCCCCAGTAAGATGCAACACCTGCGTAGAGGAGGCCTTGTCACAACAGAAGTCTGTTTGCCTGCACGCACTGCGCCCTTTGTCTGCAGCTGTGGGGCACGTGGAAAGGCTGTGGCTTTTGGACGTCAGGGGGAATTTATTTGCAAAGAGAGTGGTGAGGTGCTGGAACAGCTGCACAGAGAGGTTGTGGATGCCCCGTCCCTGGAAGTGTTCAAGGCCAGGTGGGATGGGGCCCTGGGCAGCCTGGTCTAGCATTAAATGAGGAGGTTGGTGGCCCTGCATGTGGCAGGGGGGTTGGAGATTCATGATCCTTGAGGTCCCTTCCAACCCTGGCCATTCTGTGATTTTGGTATGGTTCACCTGGCCCAGCTGGTGACATCACACATGGTGACGTCATACATGGTGACATCATGCCACGTGCCTGGATGAGTGCTTGTCACATGAGCAGGGCAAGGGTTTCTGTGGCTGATGCTAAATATAGTATAGGCTGCGATTTTTTGTGTCGTGTTCCTGTTATAAGAAAAAAAAATAGTGTGAAATGGCACCTTCTGGGAGCTGCTGAAGTCACAGGAATTGCAATTTGTGAGGCAAGGTTCTAGGGTGGGTTATGAATCTCTTTTTTTTCCTTTTTTCTGGCTGAATGTGAGCCAGAAGTGTGCCCAGCCAAGAAAGCCAAGGACATCCTGGTTGTATCAGCAGAAGTGCACCCAGCAGCAGCAGGAGGTGATCATCCCTCTGTACTCAGCCCTGGTGAGGCCACACATCAAATGCTCTGTTCACTTTGGGCCGCTCACTACAAGAGAGACACAGGACCTGAAGCAAGTCCAGACAATGAGCTGCAGAGGTTCTGTGAAAGGTTGTTGTGTGCTGATGAAACACGAACTGACTGAGAGGTAGACAAGGTGCATGGGGTGAGCATGGCACAAATCACCACATTGTGAGAAACTGCCTTTTCCCCACACAGGCAGGCACAGAGCACCATCCCTGCTTTTCAACTCTAAGCACTATTTACTTCTTTCTACAAGACTGGATGAGAAGCTGAAACAAATAGATTTACAAACTTCCTCAGTAATGCAGAAATGCAATTGAGCAAAACATGGCCTGGGTAGCCTGATCTGTGCTTTTGGTTTGTGATTGGAGCAGCACAGTTGTCTAGCTGTGTATGGAAAGTAGTGCAGTAATAGGGCTGAACCCTGTGTTTGAAGCAATAGCAATATTGTTGCTTCTGCAAAACAAGAGTTCTTTTTCCCCTTTGTCCTAGAGTTGCAAATCACTTTTTCTTAATCTCAGGAACTTTCTTCATGTGGTTGACCAGTGGATTTCAAACTCTAAATCCCTCTTCCATCTAGTAAACAGCAGCATCTGGAATGGACTCTTCTTATTGCAGTTAACTTGTAGGGGCAACACTTAAGGGTAGATGGAAAATTATTTCCGTTGCATCTGTTCTCTTGACTACTCAAGGAATATATTTATTCCTATCATCCCAAGTTTTCCATCTTTCTTTGCTCTTTCCTCTTTGCAGCTCAACAGCGTGATCTGTGAAGCTCATGCAAGGTGTGTGCAAGCAGCTTAGTGGCTTGGCTGCTGGGTGGAGCTGGTCAGTGTTGCTGCTCCCATGTAAGCTTGGGGCTGGATTAGCAGTGTCACTGGTGCTCAGGCAAGAGTTCAGGGTTTAGTGGAGACAGCAGCCTTTAGCACCACATATCCAGCACAGCTGCCATGCTGACATGAGAGTACTTTGCAGCCCCTTTGTGTAGATCAGGGTTGCATCCAGACCCCCCAAAACTCACCCGGTTTTGTGAGCATACTCAAAACCCTGAAATTGTGAAACTGAGTGAACAACTTGGATTTTGATTTCTCTAATAGTCCAAATACCTTCTGCAGGTTCTCCACTCCCTAGGTCAGGGTTTGGTAACCTCTGACAAATGAGACAAACCAGTTTTAAACAGCATCTTGCAAGACACTTGTGTACAAGGGAGTATTGCTGCTTCTTACCCACCAATAGCCTGGAAACAAGTGGAACCCTGTGGCAGTGCTCATGCTGTTCATCAGCTCAGGGAAACAACTTTTCTCTCTGTTGTAATACGGGCTGCTCCCCCAACAGCAGTGAGATGTGCAGCCCTCCACACAGCCTGGGGCTTTCACCCAGGAGCTAAGTGCACGCCTTGCCTAGGAACGTATTGCAGTGTAGTCCATTTGTTTTCATGAGTAGCCTTAGGTATTAAAAGAGATCACACATCACATGCTCCTGCCATTGCTTTATTTTCATTGGACATTTAGGTTTGAGATCTGTGTCAAACAGAGAGATAAAATGCAGTGAGAGAGGCCAGAAACAGAAGCAGATTGGGAACAGCTAAGTGTTGGCTTGCTTCAGAAGAGACCTCCAAACCTGTCCTGTGCAGCTGCTTTCTTGTGCTTTGAGCTCTTGGTTTTAGCAGAAGTTATGAAGATAAAGGGAGATGAGAGATCTTTCTCTTTAATGTTCAGAGGCTGCAGTTTCCTGCAGGTTTATGAAGCTGGAGTGGTAAAAGCTTTGCAGGACTTGTCACCTGAGATATTGAAATCTGCATCCAAGATCTACGGGATATCTTCAGGATCGATTGTGGCTGCATTTGCAGCATGTGAGTGTGATATAGGTAAGGGTGTTCTGTGTATGGAAAGATCAAGCATCTAGGTGTGCCAGAGCTGCAAAAGATCTTTTTAAACTGATGTCCTTAATCAGTGGTTAATTCCTCTGAATTTTATTTTGTTGATTTCTCTAAGAGTGGAAAATGTGGATAAATTAACTGCACAGGTGTAGTTATGGAATAAGTCTCCATGTCTTATCAATTTAAATTAATGGTATCTCTACCTAATATAAGAAACAGAAGTGCCTAAGGAGACATTTTGGGTTTTTTATAGATTCCTAAAGCATGTAGGAAATAAAATATTGAATGCGGTCCTTGAAAATCTAAATCTGCCCTTGAGATCTTCAGCCCTGCTGAAAATGGTGGCTCTTTACCAGCCTGCTAAAATGTCCCTCTACCAGACAGAAATGCAGCTAAGAAAGTACATAACTAATAATTGCTTTGCTTTGGCTTTAGATGAGATGCAGCAGTACTTCTACAATGCTGGGAAACTCTTTTTCAGCACGCTCCTTACAGCTCGGGGAAAAGTCCTGCTTGCTGTAAAGGATGCCTTAAATAAATTTCTGCCTGCCAATGCCCACCAGCTGGCATCTGGGAAGCTGCACATCATCCTCACCCGCCTGCGTGATTGGAATTGCGTGACGGTTTCAGAGTTTGCTTCAAAGGAGGACATCATTCAGGTGAGAGCCTTCCAGGTGTGGGTCCCATCTCAGCAGCCACAGATGAGTCAGCACTCACAAGGGCAAGAGATTTTTGCAACTTTGCCCTCCAGGTCACTCGCTGTCTTTCCCATAGGCCGTGATATGCAGTTGCTTCATCCCTCTGTGCTTTGGCTTTATCCCTCCTCTGTACCATGGGGTGGTGAGTATTCCTGAGGTCAGGAGAGCATGTCGTGGTTCAGGGTAAGGGCTCATCTCAGTGGCACTAGGTGTTTTTGTACCCCAAGTTGCTTGTGCTGTGTGCATACAGTGTCTGCAGAGGGAGGAACTGAACCTAAGTGCCCCACAGCCACAATGGGGAGGGAGGAGTTGGTGGGTGTAGACCTGGATTACATGGGGCAGTGCTGAGGGCTGCTCCCTGAGAGATTTCCCCAGCCCCAATCCTTCAGGCCTGTCTGGGACTGAGTCGGGAAGAAATTCCCTATGCACACATATGATACAGCTCATCTGAGAAGAGGAAGACTCAGGGTTCCTTGTTTTCTCTTCTAGTGTTATATTGATGGGGAATTCAGCATGTGGAAGACCAACTTCGTGTCCCAGACCACCATCACCGTGTCTGCTTTAGCTGGAGAATTTGACATCTGTCCCAGAGATTGCCCAGTTCCATTCTTCATTTTCCAAATAGTTGATTGGATTTTACGTATATCAGAACAAAACTTGTATCGCATGCAGTGTCTTTTCCGGTGTCCTTCAGCAAAAGTGAGCTGCTTCCTCAGGTACCCAGAGCCACGAGGCCCCTACAGCTGGCCCACTTGTCCTCACTGCCATCTCCCTCCTGCAGGTTTGTGAACAGCTTTATCACGATGGCTACCAGGATGCAGTCTCCTTCTTACACAGGTTGAGTAAGTGGTTGGGAATGAGGAGCAGGTAGGTCAGGCAATTCTCATTCCTGTTTTCTCCGTGACCAGCACTGAAGCTCCCTGTTCATCTGTTGTCCTCTAAAGGAAGGGCTTGCTGGGAATGTCAGAGCTTTCCAGGGAATGTATGTCTCAATGACCTGGACAACAGTGTAGCCTTGGTGCCTTGTATAATGTTTGATGCGTTACCCACAAAGCTGTGGTGTTTGGCAGCCCCTGACCCTAAAAACCCAATTAGGATGAGCTATAAACCGTGGTCCTCAGTCCCTTCATTTTCCAGTTCACCCTGCTCATGCCTTACATTGCCAGGAACCTGGTAGTTGATCCACAGACTGTGAGAACTGCCTTCTCTTCCCCCCAGATGCATTTGGTATAAAATACCTTCCTGAGGACTTTAAGCTTTCGTTGCACAAGGAATCGTGTCAGAAAGGTGAAGGGACCCTGCACAGGAAGCCAGGAACAGGAGTACCTTGCTCCAGAGCAACAGACTCTCAGGACATCGCCAAGGAGAACACAGCAAGCGTTTGTTCAGCAGATGAACTGGAGGAATAAGATATGCTCCATCTCCTGCAACCCTCAGAAAGGTACAGAGCCAATGCATTTTGCATCCCATCAATTTTCATTAACTGTGTGACCATTCCCAGTGCTCATAGGCTGTTGGGGTTTTTAAAGGCACCAGTAGGTGAAAATATCAGGAAAGAGAAGGATTCCCCTCTTGAATCAGTGGTGATTAGAGAAGCCCCATGCTGAGCTTATTATTTATGATGTTTGATGGCAGGTACACATTTCCCCTCCTCTTCCTAGCAGATTTCTGATAAAATCACCTGAACTCCCAGCTACCCACATTATCATTTCCTCACAGATGAAGCCACATCAGAGACACCCTTTAGAAACACAGCTCTTATCAGGAAGTGACTTATGTTGCAAGGTAATGACAGGCTCTGCCCACACACTGTTTGGTTAAGGGTGAGGGAAGGAGCAGTATGTCTCAATCTCTGAGGCTGGCTTTGCTGTGCCAGTCAAACCAAAGTTTCTACTTAGTTATTCCAGTGTGCAACCACACATGAATGCTTAAGTGCAAGAGAAGTGAGTTAGAGCTGCAGACAAACCTCTGGCTGATTCAGTTTTAAGCAAAATAAGGTAGGCTTAAATCGCAACCTTCTAGCTTTCTTAAATCTTGTGCAAAATAATGCTGAAAACTGGTGAGCTGTCAGCATTTCACATGGCCCCAGTTCATGTTTTAAAGAAAAAAAGAGCAACATACAACACAGCCTGCAGACAGCCACTGAGATGCACTGAAGAGCACACTGACAGAGCATCACCACCACAGGCTGGGCAACAACCCTCCTTATATTCCCAGAGACCACATATGAATCCCATCACCCACCTTTAATGGAGCTATTTCAGGAGAAGAACAGGATCTACTGCAGCTGGTTTGGGTTGGGTGCAGCTGAGTTTTCCAGCTTGCCTTCCCAGGTTGTAAAAAGTTCCATGAGATGATTCAAAGATATGCCAGACTTTACCCATTTTCTCCTTTGTGCCATTAGCCCTAAGCTTGTGCAGAGGAGACAGCATCAGGTGTGCTTGCTTGAAAAGATGAGGGCTTAATAAAGTATAAGGCAGCTGATACATGCGCTGAGTCATGAAATAATTACATCTTAGCACAAGTTTCTGCAGCCTTGGAGCAGGAGAAGCGATGATTCTTGTAATCAGCAAGTGGAGTGGCTAGGGAAAACAGTGGTTGGGCTGTATGTGCATGCAAGATGCCTGATCCCTCCTGCACAGACTGCAGCTTGGCTGCAGATGCAGTGCTTTTCCTTGGCCATCATGTTAAAGCAGGTCAGGCCTGGGTGGGGAGACTGCTGCAGTAGCACTAAAAACAAAATCAGCCCGTTTCTCCAAGTGAAAAAAACACCCCCAAATAACTCCACGAGGACATCACCCATCCAACCATGTGAAATCATCTCCATTGTTGTCCACTGCTTTCTGGGATGGCAAAACTGTGTGGTGTTGAAGCACCCCAGGGCCCACCTGGGATGATTACCTAAGGGAACAAGCAGGTGTGTCATTGAGACAGGGAATCAGAAACCCCAGGGATGTTTGGACTTCAGTAGGGATAGCTGCCTGTGGAATAAAATCATTCTCTGCAAGTCCTGTTGCTAGTTGAGTGCAAGGTAATGTGGAGCAAGCTTTGGGTAGGCATGGCTGAGAGCTCTGTCTAGAAGGTTAAATGCCTTGAATGCTGAGAGTTTAGTGCCAAAACATCACTTGGTGGAGATTCCTCGTGTTCCACTAGGACGGAGGCCAGCATGTAATTGCTCTGGAATACATTGCTGTAGGGAGGTGGCACTAGGCTGGTTTGTAGCTTCTTGCAGATGTTACTGAATAAGTAACAAAACATTCCAGGAGGAAAAAAAAAAAGGCTCTTTAAAGGTGGAGTGTCGCAGATTTGGAATTTTTAGCCAAGCTCAGTATCAGTGGCTGATGGGTGAGAGCTCTCTTAGGGTTTCCCAGCTCTGTACCCTGCTTCTCCTCTGCTCCATATCTCACCTCCTGGCCCCAGCTCTCTTAGGCAAACCAGGCACCACTGTTTGGAGGAACTTCTGGAACTGTTTTGCCATGGAGCTGATGTCTTCCAGCAGCCCCCACAGCTTCTCCAGTCTGCAAATGCAGAGTAAGAAGGTTTAAGGTCTGGTAACTGCAGCAAAAGGGGGAGAGTGTTAACAGCAAATGTACACAGATTCAAGGGATCCTGTGCTAGTTTCACTTGCTCTCTAAGAGCTTGTCTTCAGGTCTGCAGTGGAAGAGGCTGCTAAGCTTATCTTGCAAAGGCAGTAGGTGTGCATCACCTTCTCCTGGTTCACAGTACAACAGGGACTCACAGCAACCTGCTCTGCCCCAGAGGCTGCTCTGGGTGTTTCCCATGAAGCTGCTGCCTGAAGGATGCTGCAGCCTGCTGCACGCCCCAGTGCTGCCTGTGGGATGCCAGTCTGCCCATTGCCAGCCTCACACTGTATCCCTTCAGCCTCTCACAGAAATCACAAGTGGATTATGCATCACTCTCAGCTTTGCTGCCTTTATCAAGATGTCCTTACCCCTTCCAGACAAACGCTGGCAGCTTGTATGGCTGCAGGAGGACCTTCGACAGCGGATCCTGCAGTCTAAACATCTGCTGCTTCTTCCACCGAGCCAGGTCTGCTCTCAGGAGGACAACAGAAGAGTAAATAAAGACCCGTCATTAGAAATAACCCAATAAATGCAACAATTCCTCCTGTCCAGCCGCTCCTGCTGTATCCCTCGGTAGCCTCAGCCACCCTAAAACCCACAGTGAGTGCCCCAAGTTCTCTACCTGGGAGGAAGCGTGGTGCCAGGTACTGTGGGACACACTTGCCCAGACCGTTCAGCATCCTGTTGGGCTGTGGGAAGTCATTCTTCCCACACATGCTGGCAAAGCGGAAATTGCCATCGAAGTAGTTCACACCAAAGGCATCTGTGAGATACAGAAAGGTTGGCCACACGTTGGGTCGTGTTTTTAGGCTGCCCTTTGGGTCTTGGGATAACACTTACTGTTCCTGCATAGGAAAAGGGCAGTGTCCTGGTACCCTTGGGAATAAATGTCGTTCAGGACCTGCAAAAAGAAACACTAGAGGTCACTGCAGAGCTCTCCATGCAAGGGAGAGGCAGATCTGCCCAAGGCTGTTTGGATGTGTGGGTTGGGATGGATGGTCTGGGAGCACCGTCAACATCAGATGGTTTCCAGCTACAGAAGCACTGATCCCTTGTGGGTATTCAGAGCAGGATGAACTCTGTCCCACCCATCTGCCCAGCAAAAAATTAGAGTGGGGGCAGCCCCAGGGTCTGAGCCCTCCCCTTAAAACCTGGTGGCTTAATGGTGGAGGTCAGTATGAGCCCTAACACTGGGGAAGGCAGATCCAGCCCGAATTTAGAATAGAATAAAATAGAATCATTAAGGCTGGAAAAGGCCTCTAAGATCCCCAAGTCCAACCTCACCCCACCGTGCCCAATGAACACGTCCCTCAGTGCCACATTGGTTTTGAGTCCTTCCAGAGATGGTGACCCCCTCACCTCCCTGGACAGCTCATGCCAACACATTATCAAAGCAAAAGGAAGAGAGCCCAGCTGGCTTACCATGGTGCTGGGTGGAAACAGAGCATAGCTAATCCTGCACAGGTTTTCCACCGAAATCTGAATGCTGCCATTGAAGATCTGGAAGCAGTAGAAGATGGCAGGGCAGTCCCGTGGGCAGATGTCGAGCTCTCCCGTGAATGGGGACACAGTGATCACAGCTTCCTCCAGGCTGGAGACGGGCTGCAGGCCCGTGAATCCCCCATCAACATAACGCTGAGAGGGAAGTGCAGACAAAATTGGGTTTATGCATGGGCAGCATCAGCAGGAGGTGAGCAAGAAGCTGCAAGGATGTGACAGCCCCACATGGCCGTGCTTCCCACCCCTCGCTTTTCTCCCAGTCTCAGCCCGGTGCTGTAACACACAGTGGTTATTAAAACTGAAATATAATTAGTTCCATTCACAAGGCTTTGTAAAATTGTTTCAAGCAGCGTTGTATGAATTTCAAGTCCTGTGTTTCAGGTTGGGACTTGCTCTGCTCTTGGTGTGAGCTCCATCAGTAGAGTGCCCTCATCAGATAGCCACCTATAGAATCGCTCAGTGGACAAGGAAAACACCATTGGCTGTATTCTGAAAGGAAGCTGAATGTGCCACCTTGATGGGATTTGAGGTTGCAAGCACTGCAGCAGATGTGTATGAAATACTGATGCACAGGAGCCTTGTGCAGCACTGTTGCTGAGCCCTGGCTCCTGTGGGCTGCAGGCTGTGCTCTGCAGACTGAGCGCAGCCGGAGAGCTGAGCTGGCACCTGCAAACCAGCACCACTGGATCATGATGTCCTGCTCAGACTGCATATAAAATACAAGATGCTGCTCTCCTCCTTCTCTTGGATGTAGCAAGGAGCCAGACTGCACGTGTTGCCTTCAGCGCAGCGCTTTGCAGAGTGGCAATGCACACGTGGCTGGGGAAGGATCCTCCCACGAACTTTTAGTATTTCAGCCATGCAAGCCTGTGCCTGAGTGAATGAGGACATCGCCTGTGCTGCAGACAGATCCAGCTTGGAGACAGCCATGGGAAGGCTCTGCCATGGGCAAAGCAGCAGAGGGCTCTCCAGGTGGCTGTTCACCCAGCTATAATGGGATGAAGAGGTGCTAAAAGGCTTTATCATCCTCCATTAACCAAAGAAGATGTCTGGACACCTATATCCCTCCCTGCTCCTGGGGACATGAGGATTAAGCCCAGGAACCTGCTGCTCCAAGGGTACGTTTTATTGGGAGTATCACTCACCACACCTCGGTAGGACGGAGGGATGAACCCGCAGTAGATAGGAAGGAAGCAGCTGCAGAGGAGAGCCTGGGGGAGGAGAAAGATGGCAGAAGTCAGTGTTCCTGTCAAAGCTGTGCTGAGCGCAGGCTGCTCTGCAGGGTGCCTACACCTTTAGGCATGACAGGTGTCTGAGCCAGGCTCCGTCCCTCCTGGTGTGTGTGGCTGTGTTGAGAAGAAAGGTTTCAAGAAGGACAAAACATCCAGTTTCAACAAAGCTTCTCTGGGTAGGGGCACAGCACTTCATTTTTGTTGTATGGCTGCCAGCACTGTCAGAGCTGGACATCCATATGTCACTGTAAAACACAGCTGCTGCTAAAAGGTGAAACTTGGAGGTTATTTTTTAAAAAAAAACAAAACATCCTCACAATGCATTTTCATTCTGTGGGGGTTTTGCAAAGGCAAAGCCACCCTGCTGGGCACAGAACCATTTCTCACCCATCTCATCAGCTGAGAATGAGCATTCAGGGCTGTGGGTTCAGCCAGGACGGTTTCGTGGACTGAGCTCTGTGATTTAGGGATTCCTGCCCCCAATTTGGGTGTTAATCAGCAATCTGGGGTTTGGTAGCGAGGCCACTTTGCCTGAGCCTTTCGTCCCAGAGAAGTGCTGAATGAGGAAAAATTGCTGCCAACAGGATTTGACCAAGGAGAGACCTATCTAAGAAGCAGAGAGGACTTGTTGGTATTGCCACTCTTTGCAAAGGGCCATTGCTGCTCACAGACAGCCAACACACCAACATTGGCTTCTTGAGCCTGGGAACAAACCTGCTCTGGACCTCATAGCATCTCCCTTCCTCCTAGTGGAGGTGATGGTAGTGGGACCACAACTCCAAGAGACCTTCCTGACCCCCTGAAGAAATGGCACAGTTAAGGTTATAGAATCATAGAATGGTTTGAGTTGCAAGGGACCTTAAAGGCCATCCTGCCCCACTCCCTGCAGTGCACAGGGACACCCACAGATCCAGCAGTGCTCTGAGCCCCTTCCCCTGACCTTGAGGGTCTGCAGGGCTGGGACATCACCACCTCTCTGGGCAACCTGTGCATTGCCTCACTGCCCCTATTGTATGAAACTCCTTCCTTATGTCCAATTTAAATCTCCTCTCTTTTAGTCTGAAGCCATTTCCCTTTGTCCCATACAGCTGAACAGTCTGTCCCCTTCTTTCTTACACCCCTCTTCAGAACATCATCAATGCTTCCATGCCTCCGCTCCAGTGGATGGGTAGAAGTCTTCCTATGGACAGCAAGGGATGATCCCTTTACCTGAATGAGCTCCTCCTTCGAGCTGAACTCAGACACCATGACGTTCTGGCCGTCCACCACCCGTGTCAGCGAGATGTGCAGCCGCCCAGATGCCATCTGGTAGGAATCCTCTGGGAGCCTGCACTGCAGCACGTCCCTGATGTTGGCCAGCAAGCTGCACTTGGGGGACAGGGGACCCAGCAGTGTTTTCCGGACTTCCCTTGCGTTTGCATAGAACACTTCTTTCAGGTCATCTGACAGGGGTGGGAAAAGAGACAGACATGGTCAACATCGCTGCCGCCCTACGAGTTGTATTTTCAGCCCTGTTAACATGCTCACAGTTCTTGTGGATCTGCACACGGTGCTATTCTAATGGGGAATGTAATCCCTATAACGTCTTCAAAGGTCCAGGGACTTCCCTGGGGTGAGGTCCCCTCTCGTCTGAGCACCCACTGACCTCCTGGCAGCATTAATGGGCATTATGGGTGTCTGCACATCCTGGGAGCTGGATTAAAGGAGCAGAACTGCCCAGCCCCAGTGGGGATCATGGGCTTGAAATAATGGGGAACAGAGGATCAGTACAGCCCAGAGCCACACTGTGTGCAGAAACAGGGAGGATGCATGGGGGAATAGCCATCCTCAGGCGGTTATAGCGTGGCTTTGGAAAGCTTTTCCATCTCCCTCATTCTACAAAGAGCCCTCCTGCTCCCTGGGGTCCCTGAGTCTCCCCAGCAGCTTTTGTAGGGGCAGACAGGCTGTGTCCTGAGGGCAACCGGAGCAGCGCGGGTATTAAGAGGGGTTATCACTGTTTGAGCGGATGTTCGGGCCACGTGGAGCGATGATTAATGCTTGGTGGGTTCATTCAGGGACCTCGGCCAAAAGAGCCACAGACAGCCCAGACATTGCTGGGCTGGAGATGGGACAGAGTCTGCACGTGAGGTCACTGCAGCATCCCTGCTTTGGGGAGAGTGCAGCCATCCCGTGTCCCATCTCCAACCCCTCCCACAGCCTCAGGAATCAGAGGGGAAAGCACTGAGCGCTGATTTTTGGTGAGCTCATCTGGGCAGAAAGGGCAGCACATCACCTGTTGCTTTGTCTGAATATATTTGCCAATGCTCTAAATTATTTTGCTAGAGCTGAATGGCTCCAGCATCCAGTGGATGTTCCAAGTGTTGGGCATTCACTCCTTACTTTCTCCTTCAGTATTTTGACCCCAAAACAATCCTCCATCCGCATCACTTGGGTCAGTCTTCAAAGCCAAGCCTTATGCACACTTATTTGCACATGGTAGCATGTGGTTGTTCAGGCAGATTAGTTGCTCTGAATTGATTCTACATTATTGCTAAAGGGGTTTATTTCTGCAGCACTCACTCAGCTGCTGCTCACAGCCCCTTAGAGCTGTGGGTGCTGATCCATGGGAACGGGGGGCTATGCACCCTGCCCACCTCACTGTGCTTTGTGCCACATCTCAGCACAGCCCAGAGCTGGAAGCAAGGGGGAGGAGGTTCTCCTTCTGCAGGATGTGCCAATAGGACAGACAGGTATGTCCAGATTTGCCCACACGATATTGCCTGACCATCTGAGATAAGGCTCAGACAGCAATGACTGCCTTATTCAGGGGACACCACCCAAAATTGCACCAGAAGTGACATCACCTGCACATTTATGTCTTATCAGGGATACGAACTGCTCTGGTAACACATCCCAGCGCCCCACCAGCACAAAGCCATTGCCAACCCCCAGCCCATCCTCTCCCATCTCCTTACCCAGGCTGATGCCACACACCACGGCGGCGGCGATGAGCGACCCGGCAGACGATCCATACACTTTGCAGGCAGATTTGAGCAGCTCGGGGGCCAACTCCAGGAGGGACTGAACCACCCCAATCTGATACAGCACGAGGAACCCACTGCCCGAAAAGGAAAGCGAGAAAGGGGTGCCTGGAGCACGCAGCTCCTTTGCAGCCATCTCCAGGACAAGCGTCCACCTCGATGCCTTCCTCACCTGGCAGAGCTCAGGCTCTTATCTCCAAGTACATCCCTGCTGATGGTGGAATCCAGAATTTTTTCCTTCTTTTTTATGGCAGTGCCAGAGGTGTGGACATTCGCCAGCTATTTTAGTTGCTGCCTGTGCTAAAAGCAGTTCTCCCCTTATCTAAACAGTCCGTGTAATCCTTGAGCATGGGCAGCTCGGCAGCTCAGGGCTGGATGGAGGATTCCCTTTCACATGCAGTGATCCCACAGCCGCACAGCACCCGGTGCAGATGGATCCCACACCGCTGTGCTCCCATCTTCAGTGCAGCCACACAACTCTTCCCTTCGCTTCACGCTTCCTTCATCAAGGGTGTTTTCCTAAATAGGATTCGCCTTCAATCCTGGCTTAGGTGCAGCTCAGCACTGGGTGAGTAAAGGCTTGTATAAGGCACTTAAAGCCAGAGGGTGTTACACAAGGGGTGGATGCGGGGCGTTGTGCAGAGCACCGCTGGGTTTGGAAATAGTGCTGGCAATTGCTCCCTGTTGGAGCCTTTGGATATTCTTTGGAGAAAAGCAACACAAGGGGACGGATCTGCTTTCCTCTCCCCTGGGCTCTGCTCTTTTCAGGGCTCTGCACTCCCTGCATCCCAGTGCCCTGCAGTGCTGCTGCCTCTGGGCTGCTCATTACAGCTAGGATAGACGGAGCACATTCTGAGTGTCATTTCAGCCTTCATAACCTAACGCTGCTGCCCACACAGAGAGAATAAATAATGCCATTTTAAATGGATTGATTAAATATTACTAAATACTGTGCTGCTGTGGGTTTATCTTGGATGTTGCAAACCCTGCAGGAAGGCAGGCAAATGGTGACATGGGGAGACGCACGGTGAGTTCAAGAAGACTCACAGCATGGAAAAGAAGAACTCCTTGTTGAACCAGGACTGGACCAGGAAAGCCAAGGGACACAGGCAGGATGGACAAGAGGACAAGGGACATGAGGAGGGAGAACACCCACCCTGGCAGGGCAGAGGCAGCACCCCAAAAGCTGTCAGCTGAGACCTGCAGGGACATGCCACAAATTCCCCAGCCTGCAATGAGTTACAGGGGGGTCCTCAGTGGATGGGAGAGGGGTGAAGGCAAGCAACATCTGCCCTTGCCTGCTGCCAGCATCCCCATGGACAGAATGCTCCTTGGCCAAGAGCCACGCTCCCGTGAGTTGAAACCTTGTCATCATCCTCTTAGTGACAGCGAATTGGGCATTAATTGCCTCCTTAAGTGCTGGGCTGATTTTCTAAGCTGCCCTCCCCCTCCTGGCAGCCAGCAGAGCAGGATTAGCTGGAACTGATGAGACGGGCAGTGGTGTCCCAGGAGTGCAGATGGGAGAAACCCCTCACGGCAGTGCTCACAGATCAGCGCCCATATGGCCCATGGCTGCCATCCCAGGGATTTTCGGGAGAGGAGATTGCCTGTTGGAAAGCACAGCGGGGACTTCAGGGCAGGATGAAGGTGATAGAGTTGGAAACCTCTCAAAATCCCTGGGGCTAATAGCTTGTCCTGCTTTAATGCCTCCTTTAATATCTTCTGTGACCACAGGCAAGGGAGGTCTTGGGTTTCTAACTAAGGGGTTTAGCCAAGATGCTGAGGTTGGTTGGGTGAAGGGGTCTGGGCTGTGGGAGATGCTCCAATCCTCGTCCCCATTGGGGCTGAGTTATTTAGGACCTCAGGATGGTTGTGCACAGGCTTTGCTCCTTGTTCCCCATGGCACCAAGTGCAGGAGGAGGAGGTTTGGTTCAGCTGCCATCAGGAAAAGCACAGGAAAAGAGAATGGGAAATCAAACTCATTTTCCTCACTGCTGCTTTGCCTGGTGGGTGCATCCCATGTGCCAAAGCGATGCCCTCTGGGAAGATAGAGAGGAGACAAACCCCAAATCTGCTCCGTGCAGACCCTGATCATGCCTGAGGATGCAAAGCACATGGGATACATGGTTCCCATTGCCCCAATACCACCCAGCTCCTCTCGCAGCCAGCACTGCCCCGGGTGCTGCGTGCCAGGCAGGTGCTGCTCTGCAAACAGGACAGGGCAGTTTCGGTTTCTCCAGCAGTAAATATCACCACGGACTGGGATCTGCCCAAAGGGAAGCCCAGCACTGGCACTGCCGGGCAGGAGTGTGATTTACCTGCATTGGAAGTGTTTCCTTCATGGCTTTGTGAATGGGAGAATTGAGGTGTGCACATAGGGATGTTCCCTCTGGCAATGGCTCTTTCCCTGACTTGTTCTAATTGGGATTTTATAGGGGCAGAGATGAGGGTGAGGAGATGCCCATGCAGTACCACATCTTGGCACAGCACTGACCCCAACCACAGCCATCCCTTTTGCCCCCATGCTGATGACCCCAAATGTTGTCCCCTTTGCCCCAGGCTGGGTTTGAGCTCAGCAAGGAGCTGTGGCCGCTCCGGCCCCAAGCCAAGCACAATGCTTTAATCCAGGGCCCTGCTTAGGGGTCTGGATAAAGATTAGCTGCGAACATTCCCCCCGATTAGGGTTTAATCCTTTTGACATTTCACATCTTCTTAGACCTCATAGGTGAGACCCTGGCAGCTACAAATCCCTGAGTCCTGGAGGGAGCTGCAGTGATTGCAGCTTCGGGGACACTCAGAGCAAGCTTCCCCCAGCTCTTGATTTCAGATCAAGCTGCTTTCATAAATAAATCTCCTTTTTCTGGAAAGGGAATGGCCATAAATAGACAAGAAGGGCAGGAGCTCACCGTGTATCTGCTGTAAAACCTGCTTTGTGTCACTTTGAGTTGGCTTGAAAGGAGAAGCTCACAACAGCTGTAGCAAAGCAAACTTTATTCCATGTATAACATGCATACACATTTGCTCTGCCTTCAGACAAGCCTGGATGTCACACAGGGACCCATTTTTTTGAGTGTTATGGTTTTTTTTCTGAACTGGACCCTTGACTGACAGCAGAAGCTGTAGAAATTATAGCCTACATTCACAGATATGTAAGAAAAGTTGGTAAATAAATACATGCACACACACACAAATGAACTGTGAGGCTCCACACATGCATCTGATGGGAGCCAAAATGGAAATTTAGGGCAGTCTCAGAAATGTGGGCTTTTCAGACCCTTTGCCCCCTGCCAGGTGGGGTTTCATCCCATTGTGCCACCACGGTGATTGCTGTGGGTTTCCTCTGTGGATTTGAAATCCACAAACCCGCAGGACATCCAGGTCACCTCCGGAGGCTGTGTCCCAGTCATTGATGTCCATCATTGGGGTCACAGCTGCAGCACCATCAGTCCGGGCTCTCACAGTTGTCTGTGCTGAACTTTGCTCTGTCCTGTGGGAGGGGAGGAAACAACGTGAGGCCCTTCCCAAACCAGATGGAGCTGTGGGTCTCCCCTACTGGTTAAGGAGGAACTTCATTCCTATATCTCAAGATGAAACTTCTCACAGTGCAGCTTGTACCCATTGCCCTTCTTTTCTCCTTGCCAAGAGCCTTCATCCTCTTTGTAGCCACATTTTAAGTACTGGCATGCTGTGATAACCCCTCCTGAGCCGATGCTGCCATGACCCCCACCTGAGCTTTCTGCTCTTCAGAGTGAGAAGACTTACATCCTCCATGTCACCCTCCCAGGGCAGTTCTCCAGCCTTTGGCTCCTCTCTTACAGCCACACTCCCATTGCAGAGCACCTGTCCCACATGTCTCCCACTGCTGTGTCCCCATGCCCCATCACTCCCAGCATGATCCAGACTGACCACCCTGGCTGTCATCACACCCTGACCCCATCCTCTGCCCAAGCCCTCCTTACCTGGAGGACTTTGCTGTAGGACAAGGGTGCAAACGAGTCTTCCAAGTAACGGGTGCCAAACCCCATGATCCTGTTCACAGCCTGGTTGCAGATGCCGGCCACTTTGGCAGTGAGGTGCACCGTGAAGGCAAACTGGATCTCCTGAGGGTTGACGTTGGGTCGGCTGGCTGTCATCTCCCGGCGGACGTAAGCATCAGCCAGGTTCTTGAAGGAGCTGTAGGACATGTCTCTGAAGAACGTCCGCAGCCGCACGTCTTCCCTCACCTGTTGGGGAAGCAAACGAATGGGTTCATTGAAGGCAAACAATGCGGTGCGTCAGCCTCGGGTTGACGCCTTTGCATCTCGTGAGGACTGCAGATGGGAGAGGGCAGGCAGACAGGATCACACCCCGGCGGGGAATTCGAGGGCACCATTTCCTTGATTTCACTGAGCATCTCCGTTGTGTCAGAGCGAAGGTTCCCCTGGCCCCATAGGCTCTCACCTGCCTGTCCAGCTCATCTCCAGCTTCTTGCAGCAAGGCCACAATTTCTCTGATGGCTTCATCTGCAGAGATAACACAGCCCCACGTCACCTCCAGCCCTACGTCACCTCCAGCCCCATCCCCAAGCCCCATCCTCAGGTGCTCTCAGGGCAGCACTGCTGCTTTGCCCCCCTAAGGATCCCCCAGGCAGCACACATCATCCTCCACCCTCATAAAAGCCATTTCAGCCTTTTGCCTGGAAGAACCGCCCTCCTCCTTTGCATTTGTCCCTCCCCAAACCAAGCCCTGATGCCGTAAATCCCGCCATTGGTTCCCTATGGCTCTTTGTGTTGCATCCTTGGGACGCAGAGATGAGTCCCACACAGGCTCTGCACGGGGACAAATCCCACACCACGGTGTTTTCAATACCAAAGTGCAGCACTCACCGACCCCATCGGCGCAGGTTGGCCCTGGCAGCTGCTCAGCCCTGCGCTCCCCACTGCCCTGCACGATCAGCCCGACCTCCTCCGACACCCGTGCATAGTAACCCTCCGGCTGCTCAGCCTCTGCAGGGAGAAGAGCACATGGTCAGAACCAGGGAATGATGGAAAAGCCAGCGCAGACCCCGTTGGCACAGTGCCTGCACCCACGCCAGGTTGTGGGATTGCCTCTCCTGTGGGCATTTAGGAAGGGATGAGGATGTAACACAGGCACTGCTGCAGCAGTGGCTCCCACCCTTCCCTTGCAGCAAAGCAAAAGCAGCAGGGGATGGCCTTTGGGTGGTTCCAGATTCAATCTCCAGTCTCAAATGCAGGTTGAAACTAAACTAGGGTGAACTGTTTTTTGCTGCAGGGGGAAAACCTGTGCACATAAAATTCTGTGCGCGGACAATGGCCCCGGAGCAGCATGCAGTAACTTGCTGCATCACAAGTCACCGTAACGATGCACAGCTGTGCTCCTCACCCAGGGGATCCAATCAGCTCAAGAAAAATTGACCCTTTCCTGGGGCAGCAAGTCAAGATTGGAGCTCGCAAAGCAACAAGAGGGCGATTCTTGGGTAGGGGCAGGAGCCAGCTCTCCCACACCCCAGGTGAGGTCGTGTTGATGGAGGGCTCTCACCTGTAGGGCTGGATGCAAGGACGTGCCGCAGGGGCAGGCAGCTGGGACGCTTGGCCCTGGCCCCCGCCTCACCACGCTCCTCCTCCACGTTCTTTTTGAAGGAGAAGACCTTCTTGAGGCTGGGTCTCTTCCTGGAGGCTTTGCCCACTGGAGGGGATGTGCTGGTGTCGGCTCTGGGTCTCCTGGGCCCTTCTGTTTTGCTGCTGTAAGGAGTTCTGACATCTTTTTCCTTCACTTTTTGCCCAGAGTTTTCCTTCTGCTCCTCCGGACTCCTTTTGAAGAGCAGATTTAAGAAGCTCTTGAACCAGGTGCGCTGAGCCTTGCTCTGGGGAGAGCTCTTTGTGCTTTTCCTCTTAGGCTCCAGCTCCTCTTTAGGTTCCTCCCCAGGAACCGACGCTTTGCTCTCCTCAACCACAGCCTCCTCCAGCCCCAGCTCCTTGGCTGCCTCTTCCTGCTCCTTCTTCAGGCTGCTTTTGGCATGCGAATACTTGCCAAAGTCACTCTCCGACCTTTGCAGCACGGCTGCCTTCCTCCCTCGTGCTTTGGTTCTCTCCTGAAGCCTTTCCTTGGCCGCCTGTGTGTTCTCACAGCAGCTCAATGAACGCCTGACGTAGATCTCCAGCACTTTCTTGGCCCCTCTCCTGTCCAGAGAAAGGATGGATCCCGATGGCTGCCATGCAACGTCCCATCGCTGCTGCTCCGTGGGCACAACCCGCGTTTTGCTGCAGAGGAAAACAACGTTTTCAGCCCAGTGTTTGCTTTCCTGAAGACAGAGTGTGGGTGGGTTGGCTATGATGGAAACTGACAGTTTTGACTGTAAGCTGAGGGTGTTTGAGGTGTCCAAGGGCGTATCTGTCCTTGGTCAATGATCAACTTCTTTTATGGATGTAGGCTGCACGCTTGGGGTTTTATGATGGGGTGAAGACAGTGCTAATGGAAGAAGTGAAACTGTGCAGAGAGGATGAACTCACCCGGTGCCAAAGGGGCTGCCAGGTTTGCACAGGTGTAACAGGCATATTGCCTTGCTGTGTCTTCCCATCACTACACAAAAGGAACAATTACACAGCCCCTAGCCCCAAATCTTCAAGCATCTCCCCTTGAAGCTGCTAAAAAAAGCCAACCACAGCAAAAAAAAACCACCAAACCAGCCACAGCTGTGCACCTTCCAGAGAGCCAGACCCAAACCAGTCTGCTTCCACTGCTGAGCAGAGTGCAGGAAGCCAACAGCAAAACCTATGGGCTGAGCCACGCAGAGCCCGGAGCTGCTTGCAGGGATGGGCACACAGAACACACATCTACCCAACACATCTTGGCCGTTTTCTGGATCAAAAAGACAACTTTCACCCATGCAAGCCAACCTGAAATCCACCCAACCACCCGTGTGAGCACCATTCATAACTGTAATCACAGCAAAGCAACCCCATCCCCCAGCTGACTCCCATTGGGCGCATCCTTCTTGGTTTGCTCCTTTGCTATTTACCTCTCCATTGGGATCGCTGCTCTTCGGGACGTGTGTCGAAGCCAACTCCTCAGCACTGAGCAAGGGGAGCCACGGCCCCTCCAGCTTTATACCCGCCTGCTTTATACCCTTTGGGGCCGCTGACTCAGCCCTATTTTTAGCTCTCAGGACGGCACTTCCGCATGGGAACCGCTGTGCGTGAGTTTCAGTAGAAAGGAGAGCCATTTCCTTGTGATAACTGGCAGCAAAACAGCTCAAAGCATCCGTGTCACCTGGTGCACTTTGGAACCAGCTATCTGAGCCCGCCGTTTGGTGGGTTTTGTTTATTTTTTTTTTATCTCTTATGGGTTGATGACCCGTGGAGGCTTTGCTATGCTGCTTCTGTAAGAAGCAACCAAAGTATCTCAGGGAAATGGAGCCTCAGAGCAGTGACAGCATCTCCCCACTGCCACCCCAGCAACACTCAGGACGTGGGGGGCACATAATGGCATCCAACATCCTTGAAACCACCCCCTGGAGCTCTTTAGGCAGCCTGCTTGCCCACCCTCAGACATGAATTGGGACCTTCACAGAATCACAGAACCATAAAATGGTTTGGGTTGGAAGGGACCAGAAAGATCCCCTGGTTCCAACCCCCCTGCCTCGCTCACACCATGTCCACCTGTGTCCATTGCCTCCTCCTGCAGGCTGCTGCCTGCCATCCCCATTGCTACTTTGCCATCTGATGGCAATATTTCGCACTGCACCTTGCACAGAACTGGACATGGATGCATCTGCTGGGTGGTGATCTGTGCAATGGATGGCACAGTGATTTTGGAAAGCCCTGTGGGGTTTCCACGTGAGCAATGCTTTGTTTTCTCCAGCTTTCAGCACGGATGACGTGCTGCCCTGAACCATCCTGGATAGAAATAGTCTTTTCTTGATAACTGGTCCAGCTCACAATTCGATGTGTCCACAATTATTTCCTTTCAATTTCTTTCTACAGTTTCTCTGGGCTGTAATTTCCTACTGCTTGAAGAGAAACAGCCCATTTCCCTCTACCTCTTCTGAACGCTGCTGCGTCAGTCTGGTATTGATTAGGAAATACCCAGTTCTGTTTTTCAAGATCCCCACCTGCTGCAGATAAACAACCCATCCAGCAGGAGCCCTATGGCACCAAGCAGCACGTGACCACAATAAGTGATAAGAACTTTCACAATCAACTTAGTCTGCTTTTTCCCTGCAACATCCAGCTAACAAACAGCCACATCACTCTGGGAATGGAGCACAGTTTGATCACCTCTTGTTTGGAGGTCATCCAGGATGAGTCTGTCAACAATCCCTATTGGTGGAGGAGCTCTCATGGCTGCATGGGGATCAGCATTGACCAGCATTGATTTAGGGCCTCTTTCAGGCTTTCTCTCTTTGTTGCTGCATTTCTGGATGTAGCCTGAAGATGGGCTGCCCAAGGCAGTTTATGTAGGGATAACCAAATATAAAGCACATGATCAAGGCTGTTGTCCAATGCCTCTTGAACAATGACAAGCATAGGGCGTCAGCCACCTCTATGGATGCCTGCTCCATCCCTAGAGTAAGGGATTGTGCCCATTGTGAACCTCCTCTGGTGCACAGGGTTTGATTTTGGGTGGCCCGGTGTGAAGCCAAGGGTTGGACACAATGATCCTTGTGGGTCTGTTCTATGGTTGTATTATATGACTCCATTCTGTGGTTTGCCCACGGAGGTGGGGGAGTAACTGACCCTGGGGGTGTTCCAGAACATGGAGATGTGGCACTGAGGGATGTGGTCAATGTGCACGGTGGGAATGGGTCAATGCTTGGACTAAATGATCTTTTTCAACCTTAACGATTCTGTGGTTCTATTTGACTGACCCAAGCAGATGCTGTGTTTTAATTGTAAGGACACCAACCACAACCATCCTTCTGAGCCCTGGACACAAAAAGATCTGCAGTTCAGATCTGAACCAAGACACGGAGGATGGAGGCAGCCCAACACAGGCTGAAAAGAAAGCACAGCCAACTCACGGCACCTGCATGGCTTAATGAAACCTCTGCTCCAAGGTGCTGGTGGGCACTGGCACATGGGGGAAGCGTGTGACCCCTACCCACATGCTACCACATGGAGCACAGCCACAGCAGAAATCCCCAGCACCGTTCACTCCCTCTTCCCATGCGCACACATTGAGTTCCCCAGTGCAGGTGGCATTTGCTGGGCTGTTTACTGAAAGGGATGGGTTGTTTTCCAGGAAAGCAGCGTATTTATGGCCGTCTCACCTGCACACACTGTGGGAAGAGCAATGGCCGCATTGCCGTGGGACAGACAGACACGAGCTCATCCTGGAAGCTGGGAAGGATTTGTCATCGCACAGCCCATCCTTGCAAAAGTGCCCTTTGCTTTTTTGATTTCCGAGATCGCTCCAGAGCACAGCGCAGCTCAAAGAGGGCTGAGTGCATCTGGCAGCTTCCCAAGCTCAGGAGGAAATCCCCGTCCAAGTCCAACGGGATCCTTAGTCATCGTTGGAGGAACAGGTGAAAGGCAGCCACACACCCCTGTGTGTGCTGGGTTCACCACCAGCTCCAACAAAGCCAGCTGTGCCAGCCTGGGGAGCCATGGGTTGCTCAGGAGTCACCAAGGGCTGCTTCCATGGCAAGAAAGTGGATGGGAGAGCAATCAGGATAAAGGCACCCATGAGTGTGTATCCCAGGAGAGGCACACAGCCAGGATGGGAGCAGCCCTGAACAGCTTGGCTGGTGCTGGGTGACCTCCAGCTTTTGCTCCTAGCAGAAATTGTTGGCATCCCTCCCTGCCAGCACCTCACCAAGGCTGTGAGGCAGCTCTCCTTTACCCCACAGAGATCACATTCACTGCTGACCTGTTTCGTGTCACATCCTTTAGCCATATGGTTACACAAGGAGTTAAAACAAGACCCAGTAGGACACATCTGCACAGCCTGAAGCTCCAGCCAGGATTCAGACCATCTCTTCAGCACATCCCCACCCTTAATCACAGCTCCACAGGAGACAGATCACAGCGCACAGCACATCTGCAGGGTGAGTCCTACCTCAGGTCAAGGCAACATCAGTGCACTCGTGACCCTGTATGTGTGCTCATCTCACTGTAACAACCAAGCAGCCTTTACCAACAACTTCGAGGCATCACAGCTTTGGCTCAAGGCAACTTTTGGAATCCAGGACCCCCTCTGCTGCTTTCTGTGCAGGGAGCAGGAGGTGCTGGCACTTCCCAGCAGAGCACAAGTCCCCCTGCACAGCACTGCACACACAGCCTTCCGTGGTGTCCTGCACTAAACTTCCAGCAGCTCTTCCTTGAGCTCCTCGTGCTCCTCGTTCTCCAGCTGCTCCAGCCTGCTGGATTTCTCCTGGATGATCTCCTCGGGTGTCTTCAGAAATCTGCAAGTTGTTTTAAGTTGTTCTAAACGCCAGGTTTTGAATGCCAGAGCCCCTGCCCTGAGCTGAGCTCTGGAGCTCTTGCTTTGCCCACAGGATGCACAGAGCTCTCAGTGTTAAAGCATGGCACAGGTCAGCCCAGCACCAGTATTTTAAGCCCAGGGTAGTTCCAGGGAAGCAGCCAGCACTGGAAACAGTGGGCTCACGACTTATTTCCATCTGTTCTGTCCATAGGTGGGCATCAGATCCACGTCCCCATGCATTACCCCGAACATGCAGCCAAAATGCTGCAACTTCAGCTCAGCTCTGACCCATCAGATGCCAACACCTGGAGCCCAGCACCTTCCCATGCCCCATCCACACCGCCTCTCCGATCTTCAGCTCACCTGAACAGCAGCTTCTGCCCCGGTTCCCTTTTGATGATGTTAAGCTTGTAGTAATGTCTGAGCGCTCGGGACATCTTCTCATAGGTCATGTTCATACGGTTCTGGAAGGAGAAATGAATTTGGGGCTCTGAGCCAAAGCAAGCATCCAAAGCATCCATCCCTGGCCTGGATCTGCAGCAGGACCATCAGAGTGGCTGCCTGGGCACTGTGCAAACCTCGGCACAGCTCTGCAGCCCACATTTGCCTCTGGGCCCACGGGTACCATGATTTCTGGGGCTGACACCTCCCTCTTTACCTTGTGGTTCCCCCAGAGATGGGCGAGTCCATGGGGGTTAACGATGCGAAAGAGCTTGGCCTCCTTGTCTTCCCACTTGATGTAGGGCTCGTAGCGGCTGTCGGAGAGGAGCTGGTAGATGTAATCCCACAGCAGCCTGCAGTCTGAGCACACAGAAGACATCACAGAGCTCCCACTGTGGCTCCAGTGAAGGTCGGTGAGTGTCAGGGCGTTGGCAGTTATTATGTGTGCATTAAACATCTTATGAGAAGCGTAAGTGGAAGAAGAGCCCAGGGCTCAGGTTTTGTTTCTACATCTCAAAGTGTCAGTGTGAACTACACTTCTTCAAGTGGGGAAACTGGTATTAAATGGGGAGGTTGGTGGCCCTGCATGTGGCAGGGGGTTGGAGATTCGTGATCCTTGAGGTCCCTTCCAACCCTGGCCATTCTGTGATTCTGTGAAACCGAGGCAGAGAAGCACAGACGGATGAAATAAATAGAAGGGGGCAGGAGGGCAGACGGGATGAAGCAGGATCTCATTTCCCCAAGGGACCAGGATGAAAAAAAATAATATTCACCTGCGATTTTCCCATCCACTGGTGCTAACGGGGATGTAGGAAAAGAGCAGATGGATTCTGCCCTGCAGCTGCCCTCAGTGCTGGGATGGGAGAGGTTCAAGGGCTGATGGAGGCTGTGGGATGGGGACAGCTCAGTGTGCTCCAGGCAGGGTGAGGGAGCATCCAGAGCAGCCTCTGCACCACCGTCCATCCCTGAAAGGGAAAACCTCATGTTGCACTGAGGTGGATCCCAGGACATCTTCCAGAGCCCTGAAATAAGCTTTGCTTAGGGGCTGTGGGATGGGCTCAGCTGTGTGCTGCAGCCAAGGGCAGGCACTGTGCTGCGTGGACAGGCAGCATGCCCACCATAAAGGCATCATGCCCACCATACAAGCATCATGCCCACCACACAGACATCATGCCCACCACACAGACATCATACCCACCATACCTTCCCCTGTGCCCTTGGCCTCTCGGAAGGGTGAATTCAGCAAAGGGCTGTACATCAGAGCTCTTCTTTGAGTCTTAATGTACTGGAGTAATTCATACAACACATCACCTGTGGGGAAGGAAAGTGAGCTCAGGTGGTTTTGCTGCTTGTATTGCTGCAGTGCTCACAGAGAAAGACTCTACTCACCATCCCTAAGAATGTGGGGTTTGTAAGAGGCTTTTCCTGGTCTCCAGCACCCACCCATCCCTCCCACAGCAGACCACAGCCTGGCTTAGACCTGGTCCTTGTAATGCCCTTCTGCCTCACCAAACCTGAGCCAGGAGCACGGAACCTGAAGTCGTCCTTGGTGAGGATGCACAGGGCTTTGCCATTCATTTCAAACTTGCTTTCATCCGTTTGCTGAAGGGAATATTCCCTCTCTGCCCACCTGAGCCAGTGGATGACATCGTCCTTACTCCACAACGAGGGCTGGATCCCTGAAAGTGGTGACAGCCCCTGAAACAGCTCAGTCTGCACCCCCAAACCCAATGTAGAGGTACAGTGGTCTCCATCACCACCCTTCCCCTCTATGGAGACCAAAAACCCACCCCACTCACTCAGCCTGCCAGGCAGTGCCAGGCCATGCCCCTCATCGTTGTGTGTGTGTCTGCCCCAGGCTGGGAGCAAAGCTGCAGCCACTGGGCTGGAAGAGCCGAGCGTCACTTCACCCTGAGAAAAAGAGATTAAATGCATCGATGGAGGGAAATTCCGGGCTGACATGCCCTTGCATTGGACACACCTGCACCAGGGTGAGCTGATTTCCCCGTGCTGTGATGCACTGTCTGTGTTCTTGTTCTAGATCCTCACCAGCCCTGGGATGCCCCAGTCAGAAACCCCCACTCTCTTTTTCCCCTTTTCTTCCTCCATCAGCAGGAGCTCCCCACCAACATCACCCCTGGTCATGAGCCAGCGTGGAGCTCAGGTCCTGCTTGCAGCATCAGCCACATCCTGAAATACCACCAGCAGCAAAGTAGATAATGGTTCCCCTTAAAAATCTGTTAATGATTGCTTGGCTTCGTTCTCTGGAAAATTAAGAGTTTTGCCTACAAGTGCTGTTTTCTGAAGCAGTTGATTCCAAGCACTTCCATACGCCCTTGGGAAGATTTCTGGGAGGGAGATGGATAACACAGCCCCCTTAATGGGGTGTAGGGGGAGCTGAGCCCTAAAGAGAACCAGGGGTAGAGAAAACCACAGCATGCACTGAGAGCAGACAGCAAAGCCTGGCTGTGGCCTCAGTGCAAAGGTGGTGGCACTGAAGGTGGTGACCCTAAAGCTGATGATCCTAAAGATGGAGCATCGGGGACATAGCTGAGCCACAGGGCAGGGGGAGCTGCAGCAGGCAGCACTCAGCCCAAGGGAAGGCTGAAGGTCACCAGAGTTGGTGACGTGCTTCATATCCCAACATTGTTAACGGATGACAATGAGGAACTATTGCTACTGCTTGGTCTCTTGATGAGAAAGATCAGCAGGAGCTGAATCACTCTCAAACTTCATCTCAAAGGGTTTTCCTCACCCGAAGGACAAATGTTAGCATGTTTTCTGCTGGAGGTGATATCATGGCTTAGCTGTTGTGTCCAAGCTTTGGTTTTAGCAAAGCGAGCAGCTGCATGGAATCATAGGAGGAAACCAGAGCAAATCCAGCAGGATAAACTCTATTTAGAGAGGTTTTGCAGCAATGCAAATTGTGTTTCGGGTTCATTCTACGCAATAAGCCACAGGAATATAAGAGCAAAAGGAATTAGCAGCGCGTTTTGCTCCTCACTCCTAAAGGTTTCTAGGGCATAACGACACACTCTTAACTCCGGTAATTTTGCCCCTATTTTATCAGAGTCGATTTGGCGTCGTTTTGTTTCCTCCTTCGCTATTTTCGGGCGTGTTTCTGAGATGGCATTTGCTCGGTTCAACTCGGAGGGTCCGGAGCCGCAACCCGGGAGGAGAGCGTTGAAAAGGGGCAGCGCGGAGCCCGGTGCTGAGCACGACCGACCCCACTGCTCCGCTCCGAGTGGGGTCCGCTAGGAAAGGGCTCCCAGGGTGCCCCAACCGGGGGTGGGCGGCTCTTACCTGCATCCCCGCCGCCCCCCGCCGCTCGGCGCTGCACCAACGCGGCTCTGGCGCGATCCTTCCGGGAAACGAAATCGAAACGATCGGAAAGCCGAGAGGGACGGGGGGAGTGCCCAGGGCCGTGCACCCCAACCCTAACCCCCCCCTTCCCCATACACACACATATATACCGGGCCGTGTCCCCGCTGCCCCCGGGGGTTCCCGTTTACTTTCTGACCCCGCCCGCTGCCAGTACCGAAGTCCCCTCCCGGAACACGGCTACAGGCTCAAAGGTTTTAACTTTTTCTACCCTCGGGGACCGGCTCCGGTCTCCACCGGGCACAGCCGAGATGGGGAAGCGCTGCGCAAAGCGGGGCGCAAAGCGGGCGCGCGCCGACACACGTGCACCACCGACGCGCGCCACCGCCTGAGCCCCGCCCCTTTTCCCGCTCGACCACGCCCATTTTTCTAAACCACGCCCCATTTCCGCTAGGCCGCGCCCCATCCTTCTCGCTTTGCCCCTTCCTTGCCATTGGCCCGGCGCCTCCGCGTTCTGGACCAATCAGAGAGCGGCAGGGGCGGGGCGCGGCCTCATTTCCAAGTCCCGCCCTCGCGGTGCCTGAAGGAGCGGCGCGGTGGGATGGCGGTGAGTGCGGCCTGCGCGGCCCTGCGCCGGCTGTGTGCCCTCCTGTCGGCCCGGGGAAGGGGCTGCGGGGGTCCTTCGTGGCTTTCCGCGAAGCTTAGGGCTGTTGAGGGGCTTTCTCAGCCTTCGAGGGGCTCGTTCTGCGCCGTGGGGGTCGGTGCGGGCCTGCTTTGTTCCGTTCCCTTGGGCCGCTGAGGGCGGTTTGGGGTCGGGCGGCTCCCGCTGTTCTCTGGGAGCTCCGTGGGGTCTCGGTGTGGGGCGCCCATCTCAGCGCCTGCGGGGCTCCGTCAGCGCAGGTAGGGGCTGTTATCCCCGAGCTGGGCATCAGCCGTGCCTCCGTTGCTCAGCTCGAGGCCTCGCTGCCCTCGGGTGGTGGATCTGCCGTGCCCTGCGGCTGCCTGCTTGTGCTCCGTGCGTCCCCAGAGTTAATTCTGCCTTTTTCTCCCCCCTCCTTCCTGGCCCTGCAGTGCTTTGAAAGAGAGCTGCGTTTTGTGGGGGATTTTCGTGTGAAGGGGAGCTGTGGGTGTGAGCTCGCCTTGTCGCTGCTGTGGTTTCCCCCTGTCCTTAATCCTGCTTGCTCTGTGCCGCCTTCTTGGTGACCTTAAGCTGTTCAGGAAGGCAGGTTAATAATTCTGAATGTCTGCATGGGAGGCTGAGGACGTGCATCTGTAGGATGAATGTTACAGATTACTTTGCCAGGCTGGCTACAAACCCGGATCGTGTTGTAGCAGCAGGTTATACCCCTAAAGAAGAATGTTCACCTGCTCTCTCCATGGCCTTATCCTCAGCACAAAGTCGCAGTCCTTCCTGCTGGCTTTCCTAGCAGTCACACATCAGTTACAGGAAGGGCAGTTAAGGGAAAAACACAATTCTCCCTTTTGAGGTGTGTCCTTATTTACCCCATACCCTGACTGAACGTCACTTACACTTATGGGTTGTAAATACTTACACCTTTGGTTCATGAAGGTGGTTTTAGTCACATGGGCAGCCAAATCATGAGTTGTGAGGCTGAAAAGCTGCAGGTCAACGTGTAAGCAAAGCTTCTTGTAGATGTTACAAGTTATTCTGGGTTTTTGCATATCTTTACTACAGTTTCCCTTAAGAAAACAATGTCAGTTCAGTAAAATGAATGGGCTGATGGTGATTACAGTTCGTAGGTACCCAAATCACTAAAAATTCTCTTTTTCAGAGCAGATTGTGGAGCAGTTGCTTGCAGTGGTGCAGTTGCCTTTATTTTTTGTAATAACGTCCACATTAAAGAGTCATCAATGACCTGATCCTGTTGCTGAGATGGAGCAACGTCTGCAGACTCATTAGTGAAGCCTGTGCACAAGGCTTTGTCAGACTTATCTCACATTATCTCAAAGTAATTAAGAGCAGGATGAAGTAAGTTGTGCTTTGATGGAAATAGGTGTGCACTGAGTTAGCTAAATTGGTGTTTATTTCAAACCAGGCTTATCTTGTTTGCTGCTCATAGATTGTTTTGTTGTTGTGCTGTTGTTTTGGGTTGTGTTGTTTCAGAAGGATGAATCCTATGTTTGACTGGAGCTTAAGGTCATCTTTCTTTTGGGAGTTCCTCACACAGTTCTGTGGAAGGCAAGAAGGGGGGGGGGAGACATTATTGGCTTTAATTGAATGGTCATCTAAGAATCTGAGATGTGAATGTGACAGGTTTGTTGGATATCTGGAGTAGGAAATAACCCTCAGGATTGAGAAACCTCATTTCAGCTGATCTGATCACAAATCCCAGCTCACCTCAGTCTTTTTCTGCTGTGCCTCCCATCCTGACACGTTCAGTCTTGCCTCCTCAGACTCCAAGAGGTTTTGTCATCACCTGCTTTAAGCTTTCTGTTAAGGATGTTGTGACGTTTTGTTTTTTTTGGGTGGGGAAGGACCAGCAATCACAGAATCACAGAATGGCCAAGGTTGGAAGGGACCTCAAGGATCATGAATCTCCAACCCC